TTTTTGGTTGCGATAGTTCACCCTGGACACTTCCCGCCACTCTCACACCTTCCCAGGATGTTCACACTGCACACTGTTGAGTCTGGGCCCCGTGGGGTCAGGATGTCACAAGATAATGGCACATGGCCGGCAGAGCCTCCTCCCAGCGTCCGTTCCCTGTGGCGCCCACAGGGGATATATATATATATTATATATATACATATATATATATATATATATATATATATATATATATATATATATATATATATATATATATATATATATATATATATATATATATATATATATATGTCGTACCTAATAGCCAGAACGCACTTCTCAGCCTACTATTCAAGGCCCGATTTGCCTAATAAGCCAAGTTTTCATGAATTAATGTTTTTTCGTCTACCTAACCTACCTAACCTAACCTAACCTAGCTTTTTTTGGCTACCTAACCTAACCTTACCTATAAATATAGGTTAGGTTAGGTTAGGTAGGGTTGGTTAGGTTCGGTCATATATCTACGTTAATTTTAACTCCAATAAATAAAAATTTACCTCACATAGAGAAAAGGGTTGCTTTATCATTTCATAAGAAAAAAATTATAGTAAATATATTAATTCAGGAAAACTTGGCTTATTAGGCAAATCGGGCCTTGAATAGTAGGCTGAGAAGTGAGTTCTGGCTACTAGGTACGACATATATATATATATATATATATATATATATGTCGTACCTAGTAGCCAGAACGCACTTTTCAGCCTACTATGCAAGGCCCGATTTGCCTAATAAGCCAAGTTTTCATGAATTAATGTTTTTTCGACAACCTAACCTTCCTAACCTAACCTAACCTAACTTTTTCGGCTACCTAACCCAACCTAACCTATAAAGATAGGTTAGGTTAGGTTAGGTAGGGTTGGTTAGGTTCGGTCATATATCTTCATTAATTTTAACTCCAATAAAAAAAATTGACCTCATACATAATGAAATGGGTAGCTTTATCATTTCATAAGAAAAAAAATAGAGAAAATATATTAATTCAGAAAAACTTGGCTTATTCGGCAAATCGGGCCTTGCATAGTAGGCCAAAAAGTGCGTTCTGGCTACTAGGTACGACATATATATATATATATATATATATATATATATATATATATATATATATATATATATATATATATATATATATATATATATATATATGTTGTTAAATATGACCGAATAAGTAAGAATAATAACTCTAACACGAATTGTCTCAATATTTCGTATGTTTCTTTTTACTGTCGATGGTAATTGAAAAATCAATTCTCCAAAATTCATTTTTATTTCTAGTCTGATGCGACGCTTGAACGCGTTTCGTGATAACTTATTACATTTTCAAAGACTTTAGTTTACACACGCACAACTTGTAACCTGAAAACACTTAACAGAGTTTTACTAATTCTAACGCTAAACATCTTGTCTTATATACTCGCATTTGAGTGAGGTGATATGTTGAAACAGTTTTGGATGAGATGAACTAACTTTTGGCCAACCCAAGACACAACACGGTTCAAGGGGTATAAATTGGATAAGTGAAAGGGAAGAATGGAAGTAACTGCAAAGGGCCTATTGGCCTATACTTCCTCTTGATGCTTCTATATTGGTGCGGAGTCTTGAAGTGGGTAGAATATAGTTGTGCATTAATTGGCTGTTGATTGCTGGTGTTGACTTTTTGATGTGTAGTGCCATACAGATGTCAAGCCGCCTGCTATTGCTGTATCTATCGATGATTTCTGTGTTGTTTGTTAAGACTTCACTGGTGATGGTCTGGTTGTGGAAAGAGATTATATGTTCCTTAATGGAGCCCTGTTGCTTATACATTGTTAATCGCCTGGAAAGAGATGTTGTTGTCTTGCCTATATACTGAGCCAATTAATGCACAACTATATTCTACCCACTTTAAGACTCCGTACCAATATAGAAGCATCAAGAGGAAGTATGGGCCAATAGGCCCTTTGCATTTACTTCCATTCTTCCCTTTCACTTATCCAATTTATACCCATTGAACCTGTTCTGTCTTGAGTTGGCCAAAAGTTTGTTCACCTCATCCAAAACTGTTGCAACATATCACCTCACCCATATGCGAGTATATAAGACAAGATGTTTAGCGTTAGAATTAGTAAAACTCTGTTAAGTGTTTTCAGGTTACAAGTTGTGTGTGTGTAAACTAAAGTCTTTGAAAATGTAATAAGTTATTACGAAACGCATTCAAGCATCGTGTCAGACTAGAAATAAAAATGAATTTTGGAGAATTGATTTTTCAATTACCATCGACAGTAAAAAGAAACATAAGAAATATTGAGAAAATTCGTGTTAGAATTATTAACCTTACGTTTTCGGTCATATTTAACAACATATGTTTACAAGAAAGACTGCTACCAAAATATACTAATATATATATGTCTAACCTATGCTTGAAACAATCAAGGAATTCTACTTATATTATGCTATGCGGTAATTGCTTCAACAAATCTACAACCCTGTTACCGAACCTGTATTTACCCAGGTCTTTCCTAAATCTAAAGTTAAGAAATTTATACTCATTGTTTCGTGTTCTATTATGTGTTAATACTTTTAACACCCTATTAATATAAACTTTGTTGGAGGTTGTTGCTTAGTGTCCAGATTTTAACCCTAGGCTATCACTACTCAATATTGTTCATTTTTTTTTTATCGAATACCCTAGTCATCTTCACACGGAAGCTATAGGAACACCTAAACTTAACCAATCAGTTACCATGGCTGATCAACAGAGAATAAAGCATGTCTTAGCAGCAGAAAAGAGTAACATGACAAGACTGCTCAACAAATGTGAGAATTTGTCACATGAGTCTCCAGTTGACTTCATTCAGCTGGAAATCTATGTACGGGTGGCTGATAAGAAATTCGATCAAGTAAAAGGAAGGATGGAGTTAAACAGAGACGGGATCGTTGCCAGCAACACTGACCCTGATGAGATGGATCAAATCATGACAGAACTAGCAATGTATGAGGATAATACTCAGACTGAGTTGAATCTCTGGCTCAACTTACCAGGTTCACGTAAAGCAGCACATAACATAATAGTGTCTCCATTCAGTGCAGCACAGTCAGCGGCACGATAATCTCCTCTGGACTTACTGACCTTTGCTGGACTGGACGAGGAAAATTGGGACACTTTTTGGATGTCTTTTAACACTCAT